ATCAGAGTTGCAATTAATCCAATGCAGACAGAGAGAGGCCCTGGAAGCAAGGAGCTTCTGCTTCTGCTCTTGTAACATGGGGTGGAGGTAGAGATGAAAAAAGAAAATGTGGTCTAATACTGGGTTTCCTATGCCCTTCTGCAACTCAGGGGCCATTAAGGAAGACAAAAGTTCCCCACATGAATCTGCAAGGAACAGTAGAAGGTTGGGGAATAACAGATGAGGAAACAGAGGCACAGAGAGACTGAGGAACTTGCCCAAGTTTGCAGGGCTGTTAAGTGGGAAAACTGGGAAGTGAAACCTATCAGCCTGACTCCTGAGTCTGCGCTCCAGAATCCTGGGCAGATGTGACTGCTATAGGAAGGCATGGCCATGATGGAGTGTTCAGGAACGGGCAAGCTGAGCGGACTGGAAGAAGCTGGGTGGAGAAGGGGTGGGAAGTGAATAGGGACCTTCCAAACTGGACAGGGTGTGTGAGAGCTCACCACCCCACCCCCCACCCCAGGACAGTTTCAGGTTGCAGGCCGGGTGCGGCGGAGCTGACATTATTTATAACCTCTGTGTGCTAGATGTGGTGTAAGGTCCTTATATATTTTATGTCATTTAATCCTTGCACAGTGGTTAAGAGCGTGGCTGGTAACCAAAAAGGTCAGCAGCTCGAATCCACCAGCCGCTCCTTGGAAGATCTATGCGGCAGTTCTACTCAGTCCTATAGGGTGACTATTAGCTGGAATCGACTCGACAGCAATGAGTTTGGTTGTATTTTTTTTTTTTGGTAATCCTTGCACAGCAGACAATTTCTCTGCTGGAGGAGGCTAGATGTTTGTGTTCAGGGATCATACTCTCCTCTCCTCCCTCCTCATCCAGGAAGTGTTCACTGATGGTGAGCGACCTCATGGACCCAGCCAGGCAGGGAACACAGGGAAGAACAGAACACAATCCTGGACCCCCGGACCTCACAGGCCGGCGACCTCACCAGCACGTTTTAACCTGCCTGCTTCTGGACAGGATGCTTCCTCTGCTGGGTGGCCCCTGGTCCAGGGCTGGGTGGCCCAGGGCCACAGAGCCAGCTGCTGGTGCCTCCCCTCTCAGCGCTTGTCTGTCCTTCCTGCCGCTCTGTCCTTGACTCGGGCCGGCACCATGGCTGTCTCCTGAGTCACCACCGCTTTCTAGCTTTCTGGTTTTCACTCTCCTGCCTCCCTGGTTTGGGTTCCCATCTTGGTGAAGAGAATTATCTCTCTCTCTCTCGCCCTCCCCCCATACACCAAAATGCACACACACCCTGCTTGGTGAGACCTTCTCCAAAGGGCTCTCGGGGAAGGACTCCAAGGTCCAGGGGGCCCTGAGCCTCCCCAGCCCACTCGAGGCCACCAGGGCTGAGTTGTGGCTGCAGAGTCTGTGGGTCAGAGCCTGGCTATCCTCGGTCTGAGCAGCCCACCCGGATATCAAGATGCCTCCTCCTTCAACCATGGGCTCTCCTGCCCAGGCCCAGCTTGAGTGGACCTTGGAGCAAAGGGCCCTGATGGTCAAGAGAGGAAAGAATAGGCCTCCTTGCCTGCCCTTGGGCAAAGGCGGCAGGTAGCACAAGCCCTGGTCTCCCAGGCCTTGAGCTGTCCACACCTGGTCCCTGCACGCCCCAGACAGCTGGCCTGCCTTATTCATCTTCTTCTTCTGAAATCCACCTGAGAAAGTTGCTATGGCCCTGGGCACTTGGGAAACACAAAACAGAGCTTAAGGGGAGAACAGCTGGGCTGGGCACCATCAGCACTGTATCTGGTCAGAGAGGGAGGCTGTGCTGTGATTGGGTGCAATCCTGGAAGACTTTCTGCAGGAAGTGGCATGATTCAGCCAGGCAAAGGCATTGGGAGGGCAAGGGCATAGCAGGACAGGAGTAAAGACACTCGAGTGAATGTTCAACAGGCAGGCAGGAGGGTAGAGATGACCCAGTCATTCCTTCACTTATCTGTTAAGCACTACATGCCAGGCTGGGTCCTAAGTACTGATGATCTCATTTTTGTTGTTGTTAGTAAAACAGACCCAAAAAGAAAAGAACAGAAAAGAATCCTTGGAGCTGACATTTTAGTGGGAGCAGACGATAAACAAGATAAATCTGTTTAAATTATGTACTACGTTAGATTGTGACAGACTGTGGAGAAAAAATGGAAGCAGCGAGGAGCGTGGGGTTGGGGGCAGGGTTCTGCAATGTAGGGTAGCCAGGGAGGGGGCTGCATGAGGTGGGCAGGGCTAGGCTGCAGGGGTCTTTGATGCCAGAGTTAGGACTTGGCCCTATGAGACGATGTGGGTGAGATGATGGAAATGGGGTCTGGGTGATTTCCCAAAGCCCCATGCAGGGAAGGAATGGGGCAACAAGGTGGGATGGGGGCAGGGTACTGAAGAGCAGCTTGCAGCCCCCCGGCCAGTCCAAGGCCCAGCTAGAGGGGCCTTCCAAGCTTGGGGGCTGATGGGGTGGGTCACACTGGGTGGGCCGGGGCGGTAGGCTCAGCATCTCCCAAAGGGTCTGGAGCTCCCACAGTCTAGAACACCAAACTGAATTTTAATGGTCCCCACCCTGTGAGAACCAGGTCTGTGGCTCTGTGTCTGCCACCAGAGAAGACCTAGCACAGGTGGGGGCATGGAGGCGCAGGCCAAGCCCATCCTCCAAGCAGTAGCAGCCTGAGCCCAATGCCTTCCTCTTTTGGGGGCAGGGTTGCTTCGATACCCACCCCTTCCCTGACTGACCCCTCGATTACTGGGTGGAAGGGTAAGAGTCCTTCTGAGAGGACACTGCCTTCAAGTTCATCGGGCACTTTTTTAAAATCTAGAAAGATATTCTCCTTCAAATGACCCCACCCCGCTATCCACACTGACCCGGATGAAAACTCTGACCTGTTGTTTAAGGGTTCCGGGTTAGGGATCAGTAATTTGCAGTTGCAGTCCAGGCTCTGCGGATCTTGGGGAAGGCATTTCTCTGGGTCTGTTTCCTCACTTGTAAAATAGGGGAAGGTGTTTGCCTCACCAATACCACTGAAAGGGTAGGACAGCAGCAGAGCCAGGCAGAGCCAAGGCCGTCACATGCAGCATTGCCTGTCAGCCTCTCAGTCACCTTGGGAGGAAGGCATGATGGCCATTCCCATTGTGCAGATGGGGAGACTGAGGCTCAGAGAGGTTCATGAGTTGCCTAAAATCATACAGTTGCATAACTCCAGGGATCCTTCTCTTAACATGTCACTTTATTATTTTTGAGTAAGATTCCATTCAATACTGTTCAGCTAGTGATCCAGTCAATTAGCAGTTAAGAGGCCCTGATGGCTGGATATCTGATATTATGCATTTATCAAAACTCACGGAGTGTACAACGCAGAGTAAGCCCTAATGTAAACTATATTGCTGCTGTGTGCCGACTCATAGCAACCCCATGTGACAGAGTAGAACTGCCCCATAGGGTCTCCTAGACTGTAATCTTTACGGAAGCAGACTGCCAGGTCTTTCTTCCGCAGAGCAGCTAGGTGTGTTCAAACAGCCAACCTTTTGGCTAGCAGCCAAGCACTTAACCGTTGTGCCACCAGGGCTCCTACGTAAACTATAGAATTTAGTTAACAATGATGTATCAATATTGGTTCATCCATTGTATCAGATGTACCACAATAATGCAAGATGTTAATAAAGGGGAAACTGTGCAGGGACCCAACTTGACAGCAACAGGTTTTGTGTGCAGGGGGCGAGGGTATATGGGAACTCTCTGTACTTTCTGAGCAATTTTTTTATAAATCTAAAACTGTTCTGTTATGGACTGAATTGTGTCCTCTCTAAATTTGTGTTGGAATCCTAACCTCTATACCTGTGGATGTAATGTAGTGTAATCACCCTCCATAACGCAATTTACTATAATATAATCAATCAGTCAGTTGAGGTCACGCCAGTGTAGAAATTGTGTTGGAATCCTAACCTCTATACCTGTGGATGTAATCTAATGTAATGCAATGTAATCACATTCCATAATGCAATTTAATGTAATATAACCAATCAATCAGTTGAGGTCATGCCAGTGTACGGTGGATCCTAAATTCAGTGATTTCAGAGTTTTGTGAAGAGCAGCATAGACACGGAGGCACAAACAGGGGATGACAAACATCAAGTGAGGATCTCCAAGGAACCAAGAAACGCCGGGGCTGCCAACAAGGAAGGAGGCGACAGGGTGGAGACCCTGATTTGAACTTTTAGGCTCCAGAACTGTGAGAAAATACATTGCTGTTCTTTAAAGCCACTCAGTTGTGGTATTTGTGTTATAACAGCACTAGCTAAGATATGCTCTAAAACAGAAGGTCT